TTTTAAAAATTCTTTTATTAAAAATTTAAAAAGACCAAACCAAATTAACCCCCCCCCCCCCCAACAGCGAAACCACCAGCAAAAAAAAAAAGAACCCCAACCAACTCTGCCTCTTACAGCAGTGGAAGTTTGAGGTGGCAGCAGTTGAATTTCTAAATCCAAATTGTAATTTACAATTCCAAGTCTGTTTCAGACCTAAGTGACTCACTCTTAAGGCTTGGCAGTTAGATTGTTAAATTATTTTAAGCATTTAATATATTAAGTAACTTTAACTGAACACAGCTCTATAATGCCACAGGATCGCACAGTTTTTCTTTCTTTAATAGAAATACCAGTTGGAAATTTCAGAAAACCACAATTAAATACAACATAATCTTCTGTTTTGCGCCCTGAGACTAAACGAAAATGTAAGCATGCTAAAATACAAAAATAAATATTATTCTAGGCGGTTTCTTGTGTATGCCAGTCTTGCTGCTCTGACAAACCAGTGTTCAGAAATTATTTTCTGTGTTATAATAGGAATACTTTTTCCCTTAGGAACCAAGTGTTCATCTTAAAGAAATCGTAGTTTAATGGAATTTAGTGCGTATGGAAAAAAAAGATTGAAAGTCGCTAACTTTTTTTTTCTCTCTTAGGATTCTAAACTTCCTTCATCTGTTCGAAATACACTTCTTGAGCTTTTTGGGCAAATAGAGCGAGAGTTTGAAAACCTTTATATTGAAAATCTTGAATGTGAGTGTTTTTCTATTATTATTTTATTTTTTTTGCAGCTTGAAAGTGACTATTTGGCACTTAGTTACAACAGGGCTCATTGAGAAAATAAAATACCTTGGAAAGTAATGCACACTTGGGGCATTTCATCACAAAAGCTTTTATACGCAGCTTTAGAAACATATTACCAAAAGGAAATGTATCCAAGTTCTGATAGATTGCCTTTGGATTATTGCCACAGCTTGTTACCTCTTGTTTGATATCCTGGGGAACTTGTTTAGTTCAAACTCAAATGGAAATGTGCTGTCTCCTATATCACCACTTGAAATTAGGAAATGCAGGGATTCCCTGGAATAAAAGATTGCATTATAATGCATATTCAGAAAGGATCCAGAAAAGGTTGCATAAGCAACATTCTGGCATTTTGGAACTTCTAGCACTCTAACTTCCTAACCTTTATTTTCCATACTTTTGTGACAGTCCTTGGTAAATCATAGAAAATTAGAGTTGGAAGGAACCTCAGGAGGTCATCCTGCTTTGAACAATGGGTTTGACTAGATGACCACGGCCAAGGCTTTATCTAGCCAGGTCTTAAAAATTTCCACGGATGGAGATTCCACAGCCCCTCTGGGTAATCTGTTCCAGTGCTTTATTACCCTCCTAGTGAGAGTTTTTCTTAATATCTAACCTACACTTCCCTTGCTGCAACTTGAGACCAGTGCTCCTTGTTTTGTCGTCTGCCACCTTTGAGAACAGTCTAGCTCCATCCTCTTTGGAACCACCCCTCAGGCAGTTGAAGGCAGATATTAAATGCCCTCTGTCTTCTCTTGTCCACACTAAATAAGCCCAGTTCCCTCAGCTTCTGCTCAGAAGTCATGTGCCCCAGCCCCTAACCATTTTTTTTGCCTTCTGCTGGACTCTTTCCAATTTGTCCACATCCTTTCAGTAGTGGAGAGCGCAGAACTGATGCAGTACTCCAGATGTGGCTTCACCAGCACTGAATAGAAGGGAATAATCACTTCCTGTGATCTGCTGGCAGTGCAGCCCAGTATGCCATTAACTTTCTTTCCAACGAGGGCACGCTGCTGGCTCATATTAAGCTTATTGTCCACTGTTACGCCCAGGTCCTTTTCTGCAGAGCTGGTGCTTACCCAGTCAGACCATAACCTGTATTGGTGCATAGGATTGCCTAAGTGCAAGACTATGAACTTGTCCTTATTGAATCTCATGAGATTTCTTTTGGTCCAGTCCTCCAATTTGTCTAGGGCTTTCTAAATTCTAGCCCTGTCTTCCAGCTTATGTGCTTCTCCCCCCAGCTTGGTGCCATTTGCGGATTTGCTGAGAGTGTACTCCATCCCATCATCCTGATTGCTGACAAAGATATTGAACAAAACTGACCCCTGGGGCACTCCACTTGATACCAGCTGCCAACTAGACATTGGCCATTGCCTACTATCCTCTGAGCCTGATCCAGCCAATTTTCTGTCCACCTTACAGTCCATTCATCCAACCTGTATGTCTTTAACTTGCTTGTGAGAGTCCGTATCAAAAGCCTTGCTAAAGTTAAGGTACAATCACGTCCACTGCTCTCCCCTCATCCACAGAGCCAGTCATCTCATCATAGAAAGCAATCAGGTTGGTCAGACATGACTTACTTTTGGTGAATCTATGCTGACTGTTCCTAATTGCCTTCTCCAAGTGCTTAGGAATGAATTCCTTGAGGACCTGTTCAGTGATTTTTCCAGGGACTCAGGTGAGGCTGACTGGTCTGTAGTCCCCTAGATCCTCCTTTTCCCTTTCATAAAGATAGACACTATATTTGCCCTTTTCCAATCATCTTGGAACTCTCCAGATCACAAGTTTTCCAAGATAATGGCCAGTGGCTCTGCAATCACCTTGGCTGACTCCATTGCACCCTCAGGTGCATCACATCCAACCCTATGAACTTGTATGTATCCTGCTGTTCTAAATAGTTCCTAACTTGTTCTTTTGCCTGCTCACCTTTTCTCCAAACTGTGCTGCCAGGTGCAGTCGTCTGGGAGCTGATCTTGCCTGTGAAGACTGAGATGAAAAAGGCATTGACCACTTGAGCCTTTTTCACGTCGTGTCACTAGGTTGCCTCCCACATTCAATAAGGGACTTGTACTTTCCCTGATCTTCTTGTTGTTCAAAAACTTATTGAAACCCTTCTTGTTACCTTTCATGTTCCTTGCTAGCTGCAACACCAGTTGTGCTTTGGCCTTCCTGATTTCATCCCTGACAGCCCAAACAATACTCTTATAGGCTCTCTAGTTGTTTGTCCAAGTTTCCACTTCTTGTAAGCTTCTTTTTTATGTTTTAGTTCATTAAAGAGTCCCCTGCCAAGCCAAGCTGGTTTTCTGCCATACTTGTTAGCCTTTCTACAAATAGGGGTGGCTTGTTTCTGCATCCTCACAAAGATTTCTTTAAAGTACAACCTGCTTTTCTGGACTACTTTCACCTTCAGAGTTGCCTCCCAGAGTTCCCTGAGTCCGTTATAGTCTACTTTCCTGTCATCCATTGTCCTTACTCTGCTGCTGTCCTTCCTTAATTTATCTAGATACTCAAGTGACTGTTATGTAGGGTCCAAATCTATTGGACCCAAGTGCTCTTAAATTTTCTTGGCAGCTCATTTTCACTTCGTCCTGTTTTTCTTTTTCTGGGCACTGAGTCCCTGTTACCCTTCCCAGAGTTGGAGACCTAGGATCCAATTTGTGAGGCTTTGGGCTTACAACATAACTCTTCAGGGGTCTGTGATAGATGTAGTGTAGGGGCTGGGGCATCCAGCCTTTGGAGTTGGCTTATGGGGCTATGGCTTTAGTAATGGGGAGCTCTGTCGTGCCGTAATTAGTTACCTGGGACTTAGAGGGGGAGCTGCCTCTATAGTGCCTCAGTCAGCTGCTTGGGGCTAGAGGGAGATCTCTGCCTGTGCCATGCTGTGATTGGTTGGCATGGGCTCCAGTGGAGGGGGGCTTTGTTGTGCCACACATCTGTTGTCTGCTTGCAGCCGAGCAGTGGGGGCAGGGAGCGGTGGCTGATGTGTCCTAATGCTTGCCTGCCTCTGACCCAAGCTGGGTCATTCAGTCCCCTGCCAGAAAATGTTACCAACCCCTGATGTAGTAACAAACAGATTTTTTTTCATAGTATTCTTCAAATTTTGAACAGTAAAAGAAATCTGGATTTTTCTCATTATTCTGAGTTCTTTCATCTTAACCAGCATTCTTTGAGAGCTTATGATTCCCTTCTTTTGTGCATGACTTGATCTCTAGTCTAACCTGGGTTTGTCTCCCAGTTAAGTGTATGTATAAGAAAGCTTCTCTTATTCCTTGCTAAGAAATCTTCTCTTACCTTCTCCTGCTTAAAGCCTGTGTTTGAGTCTCTCTGACCTACCATCTCTAATTTTACAAAACTAGCATGATTATTTAGTTTGTTTATTTTGTGTTTAGATATGTTTTTCCTTTTTAGACCCAGCCTCCTACAGAAAGACTGGAATAAATTAGTTCTTTAAGCAAACTGTCTCAACCTGGTTCACCCTGCATTAATAGGCAGTTTTTACACCCAGTGTGTGTTGGATGAGCTACAGTGGATGGCTTAAATGCACATTCATGAAGCAGTTTGTGATGTACTAATGAGAAATAAGTTACATGCAACCGGATTCCTTAAATTTGCTTTTAAAGAAAAGCAAATCAATTTACTTTATATGGTATCATACTGACAGCCAGACACTAATCGGAAGGATTGGACCTCTCCATAGAAGTGTCCGTTTTCCCCCTAGTGCTACTGTTCTGCCTTATTCCCTCCAGTCTGTTCCTGTCCCATTCCCATTCTCCACTCCCTAGGTTTTTCAGTGCAATCCAGCAATTTTTATCCCTCTCAGCCCCCACACTCTTTGCCCAGTAATTCTCAGTTTCTTGTCTCCATTTCTTCCTCCCTACTCCAGCTTGTTATCCAGTCTGTCTCTTTCTCCCTCTAATTTTGGCCTTCATTTGTGCATCTTCATACTCTTCTAGTCGTTACAGATTCCCAGTTCTGTTTCCCTTCCCTAATCTCCTTGTCTGATTTCAACTTGCTCACCTTCTGGCTCATTGTCTTAGTTTCCTTGCCAAAACAGTCTTTCTCCACCCAGGCCCCTTGCGCTATTTAATTCTCCCTTTTGAGCAGTCGTCTTCTGTCCACCATCTCTTTCTTCAGTCATAGTTAACTTGTCCAGCCAGTTCTCTGATACCTGGTCTCTGAAGCTGCTTGTTCTCTTCTTACATCATGTGTGTAGCCTCTATATTTGTATCAGACAGCTTTCTCATCTGTATGAGTCTGTCAGGGGGGACTGAGGGTACAGTAGAGTTTCTCATTTCCCACAGCTGAGATCCCTGGACTTGATAAGCATTTGTACATTGGTGATTGCAAGCCTTAAAAAAACAATTTTGGCTGGACTTCCTCAAAAACTGAAAAAGCACAAACAATCCCCAGATCACTGCTCCAAAGTATGGAGCTGTTAAAGCTTTCTAATGTGAGGTGGGGGAGTGTTATTTTTCTGTAGTTCTGTTCAGAAAAACAGCTGAACTCTTTAGGTTAAACATTCTGAATAGCAATCAGCATGAGGAATACACTTGCAATGAAAATTTCAACCAAAACTTTTAGTTTGAGAAAGATGTAAACAACTTGTAAACCCTGTCTTATAACCCTGTCTGGACATCCTTGACTTTCCCCACCCAGAGCTGGCAGTAGCTATGTGGAATTTATCTGCAGTCACTGTGTGCATGTTCAGTTATTGCATTACCTGTGCTACTCAGCTCCAACTAAAATCGCTATATGACATAACTGGTGAGTGGGGGATACCATAATGTAGTAAAAATATATTTGTCAATACTGTGCATGCACTTCATAAAAAGGTTCTTACTTACGAAATGAACATGCTATTTGTGTTAACATGCAGAGAAAACCTTTTGATTACACTGAACAATCATAGCACGCTCAAGCAAAACTTGTTGAATATATATCTTGTGCAGAAATCTTTTAATAAAGATAATGTTAAGATATTTGTAGGAGTGAAAATGAACTTTTGTTTCTATGACTTATCTTGAAAAGAAAATAGTTTGTGTTTTAAATTTAATAGAAACATTGCCATGAAATCTCTTCCTAGCTAGGTAGTCACTGTAAGGCTACAACGGCTTCCACTTTCTGAATTTGGCATTGAGCTGGATCAACACAAGGATATTAATTATATTACAGTTACCTTTTAATGCTTAGACATATGGGCTACTGAGAGAGTGACTATATTAATGATGGGCAAGGTTTGTTTGGAACCTGAGTCCAGGGTGATTTCTGGGAAGTTTTAATTTGAAATATTTATAACTTGAGAGCTGCTTTTTCAAAAGCATCATAAACCACCTTTGTTGTTGACAAAAGAGATGACTTGATGCCACACCACTTTTTAAAAACCAACATATTAATCACTGGATTAATTTTTTTCTGTTTAGTACGTCGAGAAATTGATACACTCAATGAACGCTTGGCAGCTGAAGGACAAACAGTTGATGGAGCTGAACTGAACAAAGGACAACTGAAAGCAAAAGGTAAGATGAGTATTAACAAATACTCACTTAGGATTTCTCTTCTAGTTAGCTTTTCATATAATTAGCTGAACAGAATTTTTGGTCTAATTGAAGGGAATTGATACCGTTTTACAGAAAAGTTAAAAGAACAAACAAAAACAAACAAACAAAAAACCATATTATTTGAAATATCTTCCTTTTGAATTTATTTGTCTCAACAGCCAGTCATAGTACCAGTCAGCTTTCTCAGAAATTAAAGACAACTTACAAGGCATCTACTAGCAAGGTATGAGACAAACTAAACTCTACTTGCATCACTGTATACTCATGAGACTAATGTGGCTGTCTTCAAGTTGTGAAGTATCATGTCTTAAGCTGTATAATTCCATTCTTTAGACATGCCTGGTGAAGAACAATATCCATATTTTAGATTCAGTAATTACCTCTTCATCTCTTCTTCTGTAAGATGTGATTATTTTACAAAAGTTAATAAAAATTGGAGTATTGGAAGGGGAAGGATTTTGTGGCACTGTTAAATCTACAGAAGGATTAAACTATTTTTATGATGAAAGTATAGGAAGTTAAATTAATAGTGAAGTTTCAACTATGGGAATGACTTTGGGAATGACCTCTAAAACTAAAATTAGAAGACTTTACAATTGAACTGGTTTAAGCTGATTATCTAGGTATTGTGGTTTTTCTCTGTGCCCTCGCAGGTTTTTATTCTTACCCATACAAAATGGAGTGATTCCCAACTTTTTTTATGAGTTTTTCAAAATGGCAGCTAAGCAGCCTCTCAGTACAGTAGCCAGTGTCTTCCTGTTTAACTCCTTAGTTGATGGGGTGTTGTGTTTTTCCTTTTTTTTTTTTTTTCTTTTACCTTGTATATTTATTATTTTCCCTTTTTCTCCCTCCCTTTTCCCTTGTAACTGAGCATCTACACTCTTGCTCATTTTGCCTCAGGGTGGGGCTCCTTGGGGCTGGGCATTAAGTTTTCACAGGAGAGATGACAGCAACAGGAGCTGGTATGAGAGCCTGTTGCCTGAATGCATGAACTGGTCCTATGGTTGGTTACATTATGGGCTGTATGACACCATACGAGGTAACATGCGTGTTTTACAAACTCTGCTTGCTTCTCTGTCCTAACCTGGGGGAGCATGTGTGTAGTGCACATCTAGGCTCATACATCTTTTCCGCCTCTCTCCTTGTTTTTGTCTCTTGGGCTAGTTTGACAGTCCTCAAAGGGTCTGACAAGCAGGCTGGAAAGCCATTAGCCTAAGAGAGCAATTTAACACACAAAATTAGACAAGAAATTTGCCTTTTTCTCAAAACTTGATTTGAAGTTAACATTGTGTTCAGAATTAAGGAAACAATACAAGATTCAGTGGGCATTTTTTTAAGATGATGATGAAAAGACAAGAAGTTCAGAGATATTTTATGATTCAGTCCAAATCTAACAAATTCATTCCTTTCTTCTCTACAGTCTTTTTGTAATTCCCTTTGTCAGATATGAATCTGCCTCGTCTTGCACAACTTACAAATCTATTAGGATGGGAATTTATGTTGGGACTATGTACAATAAATGGTTGTCAACATTTAGAATGCTTCTCACCTTTTCAATGTGTAAATAATATGCAGTAATTATGTATCTTTTATAAAGCTGGCATTGAATACTTATTTTCTCTTGCTTGCTTGCAATGTAGCGTTCAAATTCTTTCCCAGGGAAGTCAGGTGGACCTCGCAACTTCAACATGGGCAGCTGGGAAATATGGGGTGGAGACTCCTGGGTAACTTTTGCTTCCCAGTGTGCTGTTGTGCATGCTAAGTAGGAGTGAGTGGTGGAACATGCAGAATTTATTTATTTTTTTCCCTGAGAGGGTATCATATCTGTCAACTGTGCCATGTCAGCAGACTTGACATTCGGTTATCTACACTTAATAGCAAAAGTTCATGAAGACATTTGAATTGTAATTTAAGGAGAAAAAAATGATTTGTAGTCAGGCAATATCGCTTCCCATTGCTTTCTCCATTGCAGCTGTTTTGGCAGTTGGTGGGAGCATCTGCATTTTGAATATTTGCTTGTCTTAAGAGGAGAGAAGCAAAATATTTACTCTAGCTTCTGTACAACAGAAAGTTTTGCTGAGTTAGAAGTTTAGCAAAGATTTGTGGAGCAGTGTCTGCAGGGATGTGTAAGACTTCCTTTGTGCATCCCAGTTGTCTCTAGTTAAACTTTTCTTTACCCGATCTCTAGAGGAAAACAAAATCTGTCTTGATGAAAAGCTGTAGTGTAGCAACAGCATGGCTACTGAACTTCTATACACAATTTACATTTAAATGCAGGGAGTGAGAGAACTAAATCACTTGAACTAAAATAGACTGTTTTAAACTCAGGACACTGAGGTAGTGCCTAGTAACCTACATTTAACATCCTATTGTATATTGCTATTGCTTACGTAATTTATGGCCTACTGACAAAGGACTGATGACTGACTGACTCTTTGTCAGAAGACACTTCTACAAAAGCCATCTTTTGTTAGTTAATATTCAGTTATCACAGATGCTGTCAGACAATTTCTATGGAATGTGAAGATGTGTTCCTTGATCTGTACTAAATGGTTTGAAAAATGTCTTATTTCAATGAGAGAATTCAATATATTATTTCCAGTCATAGAACTGATCTTTGGCTGTCCTGCAGCCTTGGAAAATGCATCTTGGCAAAACATAGTGCGTATAGCAAAATCAAAGGATTTCAATCTGTTTAGCTTCTCAAAAGTGAAGGTCAAGGCATTTCAATTGCTGTATAATCACTTGCATTAGAAAAAAAAAAATGTCTCCTCTAGCTTTTCATTTGGTGGACCAAGGATAAAAAAAAATCCAGTGGTCAGCAATTAAGGTGCCAGAATTTAAGTTGGAAAGAAGATGCACATTTTTAACTGTCAGGCTAATCCACTCATGGAGCAATTTATTAATGGATGCATGTAGCAGGTTCTTCATCACTTGGATTCTAAAACTCCAGATTGAACTGTAAAGATGCCCAACCACAAAATGATGCAGGAATCCTTTGATTTGAAAGTTTTTGTCTAGAACAGAAGCGCCCTTCAAAATACACGTGAAAGTTTTTCTGCTTTGCCTTATGAACCTAGGAAATGGTCAACTGGATATAATTTCTTGTATGTAAAGATATCTATATAAAGTTCTTAATACTAATGTTCATTTGTTTTTCCCTCTGCGTGTTTTTAAAGGAGTCAACTGCTCAACTTTAAAAGATTTTTGAGTAGCCTTGGGCCTAAGACAGTCCCAGTGTTGTCCCCACACCTCTTGAAAATTAATGGGTGTTTAACATTTTGTTCTATTTCTAATTGATAAATATTAGGGGTGCACTGATAGGGATTTTTTGGTCCAATACCGATGGCCAATTTTTTTTTTTTTTTTTTTTTTCCAGACAAGCCATATCAGCTGATGCTGATACTGATACAATTGCCGATTTTATGCAGCCGGGCAGCTTGGAGAGCAGCGTCCCTCCCTCACCATGGGAGGGATGCTGCTCCTCACTCCCCTTCCCTCCCTCCTTGTCCCTTCTCCCACAATAAACTTACCAGCCCGACACTACTCTCTACGCTGCTGGGCTGCGCTCCTGGCTGCCTGCGTACTGCTCTGAGGCTGTGAGCACGCACAAGGCATTTATCGGCGACATTATCAGCCACATCAGCCAAAAAAAACCTGATTGCCAATGCTGTCAATTTTCCTTATGTTAGTGCCAATCAAATTTGGGACCAATGTATCAGTGCACCTCTAATAAATACCACTTTGAAAAAACATGATCTGAATTCTAAATCTTACAGCTGTGTAATGCAAATTAGTAAACAAAGTTTCTGCAAGATGTAATTCTGCTTCTCTGAAAACAAAGGAAATCAGCTTTCTTTTCTCTATAGCCATTGCATTTTTTTTTCAGGTTACAGTAAGTAGGTTTAGTATTGCCCCACCAAAACAAGCTTTAATAAATAAAAAGGATTTTAAGACTGAAGACAAATGTCAGCTATTTCAAGTCTGGTGCATTTCCATGTACGTGACCTGATAAGTGTATGTTCTGGAAACAGTTTTCCAGAGACAGTTTAATTGGAAGTGGGGAAAAAATGTGCATGTGAACACACAGACTTGAAAAAATGAAGACAAAAAATGAAATTTCCTTAGTTGATTTGTAATGATATCCTTGAGATTTAGTGTGGGGGACTTGGGAGTCTAAGGTTTGGATTTTGCTAAACAGTTGAGAGTTATGTTAGTCCCTTCTGTAATTTTAATTCTTATGTTCCACTCATACATGGCACCATTTGTTTTATGGAGATGATTTATATTAAAGTTGCATCTAGGATTGTTTTCAAGTCTTTACAATCAGTTTTGCAGTATAGTTGAACTAATAACCTTTGCCTCATTTTGTGAGAACTAACCCATTTCTTTTTCAATGCATCATTAAATGATTGTTGCTTCTACTGATATGAAACTGTTATGCTTATTAACCATTGAATTTTGACTTCATATAGGGTTTCATCATTACAAAACTGACATGCAAAAATTTTGGACTAATTTAATTCTCAACATTCTCCCAAACATTTTCTTAAATCTGTCTTTTCTAGAGTAATTTGAATGTACATCTTAATTAAATGACTTTTGAAGACTGCTTTTTTGATATCAAACAGATGAATGGAACTTTGTTCTTAGTGTTACTTTAGAGTTAAATCTTCTAACAGAGGAAGCTCATTGTAACTGTAGTGTAGAATTACTTATTTAAAACCTATATTGCTTTCAAGTCAAAACACTGTAAATTCAAGGTTTTGACTTTTTTAGGCTCTGGTTACATAAATTTAAGCATATGTTCATAATTCTCTTATTAAAAGTTTTCCCTCTTAAAGAGTTTAATTAAATGTCCATTTTCCTCACGGTATTCTTGTTAAAGGACCCTCAAAGCCGGTGAAAAATACAATATTGCATACAGTGTTGTGCCCCTTCTTTGTGTTACGCCATCTCTCTGTAGACACTTACCATATTTATTCAAATCGAAGACTAGGTTCCCCCCCTCATTCAACACGGTGTGGTGGGGGAAGCCCCTCATCTTGGATTTGATTACAAGATGGGAGGGGAGGGAATGCAGCTGCTACAGCTCTGACTCTGGCCTTGACCTAGGTTCAGCATTGGAGCCAGAGCCATAGCAGCTGCCTACGTGGCTCCCCCTTCCCCCACTGCTTACCATCAAGTGCAGTTCCAGCCCCATTCAGCAGCAGTGCCAGCAGCTCTGGGGGCTGCAGTGGGGACAGAGGCTTCAGCAGGCAGCGAGTAGAAGCTGTGGGCAGAGGCTGCAGAAGCTGCAAGGGAAATAGAGCAGAGGAAGCAAGGCACAGGCACTGTTGGCAGGGTAAGCAGCAGGGGGGACAAAGAGTAGGGGGACAAGGGGCAGAGGTTAAGCTGCCTGCTGCTCAGTGCCTCTGATGCTGGCTGCTTTCCTCACGGTAGCAGTTGGCAGGCGGGGAGGGGGTAGGTTTAAGACGACACACCAATAATTAAATCCTGTACATGGAAAACTATAATAAATATTCCATGTATAGAATCCAAATATTGGGGGATTGTCTTAGTTTTGGTTTTTTGATGTTTGTCAGCCTGCATAAATATTAATTTGGATTTAATAAAAGAAAACCATTTCCCCTGCCAATGCTGTGTCTGAAGTTATGTGCTTAGCAAGTGGTTCAGATGGTTTGAAACTTGTTTATGCCGGTGGGGCTGATTTATTCTTGTAGGTTAAGTCTTAGACATAGAACGAATGTTTTTTTTGCAATTTTTAAGAAAAGTAGTGCCACTTAATTTTTTTTTACCTAGACACGTTTCCAGATTGTGACCAGCTCTTCATGGTATATAGGAAAACCATAACTTTCTGAAGACATACAGTTCAAATGAGACATCACAGTGCAGGTTGTCTCCCAGCCTTCAGACACTTGAGTCTTGTGGGAAAGGAGGGAAAGGAAATTTCTCATGGTCTAGGCCCTCCTGTCAGACCAAATGGAAAGACCATGCACTGTGCCTGTGCAGCATCACTGAGTTCAGTGGGACTGCACTTTCATAACCCTGGAGTTTGTCCCATTTTCTTTAGAGAGCATGAGCTTATTTTTATTCAAAGATTGTATTTTCCTGCAGTTAGAGATATTGACAAATGATAAACAATAATAAAAATGTTAGACCTTCATGGGTTTTTTTTGTTTTTTAATTAAAAAAGGAAAGTCTAGTGTTATGTTACCAAAAGTAATTTGAGGAGTAAGTACCTAACATCTGCACATTGATATGAAAAACATATTGGTCTCTCTATTTTAGATTGTATCCAGTTTCAAAACTACAACATCAAGGGCAATATGTCAATTGGTGAAGGAGTATGTTGGCCACAGGGATGGTATTTGGGATGTCAGTGTCACGAAAACTCAGCCAGTGGTGTTGGGAACTGCATCTGCTGGTAATATTTTGTGTGTTTAACTCCAGTAACTGTATCAAAATATCTGAATAGAGTTCAAATGAATTTTCTGAATAAATCTAAAAAATACATAAAAGCTTAGTTACACTACATATAAGAGAATTTCTTACTGGATTTCTTAAATCTTATTTTGATGTACTTTATTTACTTAAATGTCTTTCTGTTAGTTGTATAGGCGTATCAGTAAAACATTTTAAAGGAGGTTTGGTAGATTCAAAACCCTTGAGTGAATCTTCATAATCTACCCCCAAAGATCTTTTTGGTTTGAGTGCAGCTCAAGCATCCTTGTTGAGTCTCTCAAATCATTTGAGTTTTGAGACCCTGAAGTATAGTGATGATCCATTTACAAATTATGGCTAGCCAGCATATCTTGGTAGGAATTTTTATGGTTCCTCTTGAGTGGGGGTTGAAAGATGGGGCGTCTTTCTTACTTTAGAGGGCTTTCAACTAGCATACCATAGTATACTACCCACTACTTATGTATGTATAATTACAATAGGAAGAAATGACATGGTTGCATAGCAGTATCAGAATACTGCTGTGACTGAATTTTTTCATTTTGTTCCCAGGAGACGCAAAAGATGTAGTTGTCACAGTTTACATACACTAAATATGTATGGCCTCTTAGCTATATAGTTTAAAAACACACTGTAGTTACTAATGCTGTCTTAAGGGCTTGAAATAGCCAAAGGATCTGTAAAGACCAGAATTTGAGAACTTTAGATATTCTCTTATTAGAGGGAACAGATACTATAGCCCATTGGTTTAATTCAAACAGTATTAGCAACACCAGCATCACTTTCCAGCCAATCTTTATCTTGGAAAGCATTTGGGAAAGTGAAGCTTTTCTATCTCTAGATTGGATAGTGTGTTCCAGTTTTTGTAACTGGGGCTACATTTTTAGTTGTAGTAATTGGGAACTTTAAAATTTACATTTCTTTTAACGTAATAACTACTTCTAGAAAACCAGACTTATTCTACAGTTTCATTTTAGTTATAATTTTTAATTTATAATTTAATTTTAATTATACTGTGCTCTAAGAGGTCAAATTATTCTTCAGAATAATAATGAAAAAATGTTTACATATATTTCTGTTTTACCCTTTGTAGATCATACTGCTCTTCTGTGGAGCATAGAAACTGGAAAGTGCCTTGTCAAGTATGTAGGGCATGTTGGATCAGGTAAGGATGCACAAGAACAAAGTTAATAACATTTTTGTAGTGAGGGAAAGTGTATACACCTATTAAGATTTCTATAATGCCTTCAGTCTATTAGGCAGCAATAAACTCCTTATAAAACTCCCCTAAGTTTTATTATGCTGAAAACATTTTCTAATATACTCTTCTTTTAAGTAAGTTTTAAGGTGTCTCTGTAAATGTTTAATATATAATAAAATGTAATGCACAAAATTACATTAAAAAACAATAAAGCTGTAAAATGAAGTACTCCCTGGCCTTGTTCTCTGAAGTTGTTGAAACATTTTTGCTGAATTTTTTGGAGGGGGAAGTCTATCAGAGCAGACATCTTGCATAAAAATCTGAGCCCAAACAGTTTCATAGAATTCAGAACTGTTGAGTGAAGCTTCTAAGAAGTCAAACTTGAGCAACTGAAAGCACATTCTGTGCTGGCTTCTTTGTTATATAACTCCTTAAATGTATTGTCTGATTGTGGTCATAAACAAAATTGAGTAATACTTTTTTTTATTTGGATCTCTTTAATTACTAAATGTGCTTTCAGATATTTCAAGCCCATTGTCATCTTAATAGGGATACAATAATCTTTGTAAAATCAGCCTGAAAGTCTCAGTCACTTTATTTGCATGCAGATACTCATTTTTAAGTGGCTAATTGGATAAATGTGAAAGTGGTAACAGTTCTGTGTGGTTTTAATAAAATAATTTTATATAGTTTATATACAGAAAACCACACAATGCTTAAGTTCCTAAATTATCTTAACTCATACATGTCTATAAGAATTGTATTGCTTAACTTATACATGAAGAGTACTACATAATGTACCAATTACTGCTCTTAAGCAGTATGTTCCCCTGTGAAATTAGTCTTGTATGAAAAATTTGAGAGTTACCTTTCTAAATTTATTAGAGAAGTCAAGAACTGTAGAGAATTATTTTGTTTAATGTTATATTTTTAAAATATTTGCATCTTAATAATATTTAGTCTAAGTGACAGTACTTTTATAGAAAAGCGTTTTATAAGGCGTACATATGGACACTAAAGAAATGTAAAATGTGTAGTATAAAAAGTTTGAACTAAGTGCTATGTACATTTCAAGTGTTAGTGTATAAAGTCTGGAGGAGTCTCTTGGTATTGCGCTTAACTCTTTGTAAGTCTGTTACAGGAGTCTGTCATTGCATAGATACGTTCTAGTTCCATGAGGCTTTGCCAGCAATTATTAGGAAAAGGTTTTTTTCATTGAAATCCTTTAGAAAACAGCTCTCCGCTGGGGCCTTAGGGGAAAACTAAATTGATCTTGAATTAAAATACATATTGCTTGTTAAAGCATAATTGAAAAATAGAAAATCCTAGCATCAGGAAACGTTTGTTGATATGATGTAAATGTTTCCGTTGTTTTAGGCATAGAAATAGATATATAGAACCTTACAGAATTTTACCAGAAGCTGATAAAAGTTAATCTGTTAGGCTAATCTGTAAGGAAGCCAGAAGTGACTCCCTTAGCTTGTTCATCCCGTATAACATTAACATTTCTTTTAGATACAGGAAGTAGTTTTATTAAAAAGTTCTTGCTGTTCTTGTAATCATCTTGGTGCATAAATTGCATACTTGGTTTATGTGCCTTTATAAGACATTGATTTAACATACGTGTATGAAACTAATAATAATTCTGTAGGTTAATTTAATACTTCACTGCTTCTTAGTTCTTAAAATTGTAAACATTTATAAAGTGATTTTTGCCTTAACAGACTTTTTGTGCTCTGATTTTGTTGGCCTAAAACTTGACTTTTATCTTGCACAGTAAATTCCGTAAAGTTCCATCCAACAGAGCAGGTAGCTCTCACAGGTACGTAGTTTTTATTTAATTAAAATTATTTAGTCAAACTAAATAAAAAATTAAATGCAATCTGCTTGCTATAATGAGCCATACAGTAACCTTTGCTCAGTGGCAGAATCTTTTTTTTGAAGTTGTACCTGCCATCTTATGTCCTTTTCTGTCTCTGTTTTGTTTAGATTTAGTTAATTCTTTGGTGCAGGCCCCTTCTCTTCTGTGCTGGGAAACACCTAGCAGTCCGGCGCTCATAGAAAGAAGCATTATGTTATTATATAACCTTTTTTATTTTAATTTTTTTCCAAGTAACACGATTCTAATGATATCTTTTGACATAGAAAAATGAGACTTCACAAGGAGGGGTGCTGTCTGTTATAGTGACAACTATGTCCCTACGAATTTATGAAAGTTCATGACTGCTTTCGTAAAGGGAAGGACGTCATCAGTGAAGCCTTGTGATAGAAATCAGTTGCAGTGGGATGTATGGGGGTTTTTTTGGTTGTTTTTTTTTTTGTTTTTTTATGGTCCAGCAGCTGAAGTGCTAGCTTTGGGATTCAAGCCAGAGTTAAATTGTTTTTAATTTTAAGTTTTTCTTACAAGTCATTTCTGAGATGCAAGTCGCTGAAAAATGGTCAGTCTTCAATTCTGAAAATTTTCAAAGTTTGTTCTCTAGCAGGAATGAAATAATACGACTTTAAAAAGGCAGAATATTGAAGCTAGAAATAATTAGTTTTTTACATCAACTTTAAGTGTTGCTTTGATTTTTACCATGTCCTACATCTAACAGTTCTGCATGGGATTATAAACCACTATTAACTATAGACACAAGAATACTCTAGATCAGGGTTGGCAACCTTTTTAGGGCAGTGGAACTGGTACTTGCAACCCGGCTGTTGCCAGGAGGTGCTGGTCCCCTGATTTTTGGATCAGTCGTCAGTCATCTACAGACTCACCAATGACTTGTCTATTTACTTGGAAAATTGTTATCCTTGTATTGAGAGGCTGCCACCACATAAAGATAAATTAGTATTACTAATTCATTTGCTACACAAAGATTTAGATTTTCTTCATATAACAAGTAATGAGTTTTTGATTCTACCTTTTTGAGTTTGTTTGAAATATAATTTTACATTTGATAGTTTGGATTTCTCTACATCTGTGGAAAAAATGCTTGCTTGAAGGGGAACTTGCTTTTTCCAAAAATCCTGATCATACAAATTACCATTTAACAATATAAAATCTTACGTGAGAGTGTTAGTATAGAAAGAAGATTATTATATACAGTAAAATCCCTGTTATCTGGCATGAGTGGAGAATGCTGGGTGCTGGTTATGTAAAAATTCCGGTTACCCGAAGCAGATAACACAGTGGGAGGGAGGGGAGGGGAGGAATGGAGTGGCAGCAGTCGTATTTTGGGTGTGGGGGTGGTGGTGGCTGCATGCGAAGTAGTGGCGGCACAGGGTGGTGGGTGGTGGCACCCACCATGTGCCAGCTTTCCCTGCTCCCTCCCCTGCGACCGGTCAGCCGCCTGGAAATTCTGGTTAATAGAATATTCTGGCTTGTAGAATGCTGGATAACAGGGATTTTCCTGTATACGGTATTTTCAACGGAAAATTTTCACCGAAGAAACTTAATGTTTTCATTTTGCAAGTAATTAAGTTGGATGACTTCTCCCATTTTTTGCCTAATGAATCATGAGATCAACAGTATTGAAGCATGGAAAACAGTCAGTTATTTTGTGATTTACCAAAATGGTGATTAACAATATTTGGTTGTTGTTTTTTTAATGCGTTAAACAACACTGCCAAAATGTACAAAAAATCAAAACTTTCTGTATTGTGTTTATGGAAACATACTTATCCAGTCTCTCTCTACAGCGTCTGGAGACCAGACAGCTCACATCTGGAGATACATGGTTCAGTTACCCACGCCTCAGCCAACTGCAGACTGCAATGTAAGCAGTAAACTGACTGAGAATAAACTGTTCTTGGGATAGCTTAATCTGATTTAGCTGTTCTGATGTGGAAATGGTCATCATTAATTAAAGGGGGGCTGAGATTTGGCCCAAATTCTAGATTAAAAAAATTCTTTTACAAAGTTCTAAATTTAATTAATTTTCATGTTCTTTTCATATAGTATTCCTCTGGCATTTCCAAGCCATACCTTACAGAACTGAATCTGAAACTTCAAGTATAATTATCTGACTGAAGAATTGCCCAAGTTAGCAATATTCAAGTACATACAGTATATAAGATGAGCTTTTATTCCCCCCCTGCCAACAGGGGAGGGGGAACCCCTTGGCTTACTTTTGCATACAAGGAAACCTCACTAAATACATTATCTATGACTTAAGCTGCTGCCAGAGCAGCACCAACTATGAAGTTGATTAAATGTAGACAGCACTAAGCATAAAACTATAAAACATGTATCCCCCAACATTAGGAAAACATAATGATGGAAATCTTTTTCCATAACAAAGAATAAAATAATGTCCCAGGTCAAATTTAGCCAGATCAGATCCAAATCCGTATGAATCATTCAAGAACCATATGTGACCCTCCTACCGGCAAGTATCCTTCACCCCAGCCTGGGACTTTAGATGCTTCCAAATCCTTTGGCAGGCATCCTATATGCAACCCCAGAGGCTTGGGATTTGGATGCCCCCAAGTTATGCTTTTCCTCAGCCGTATGGCTGCAAGAGTAAGCTAGAAAGGAGTTTCTCATTTCTATGAAGTCAATGTGTAGCTGAGACTCTCCCACTGGAAGCTGGCCAGTGGGAAGCTAACTATGAAGCTGTCATGTGGAGTCCTGTTTACAAGCAGACAAGGGCAGAATCCTCCACTAAATGTTGCCATTTCAGTTGCATCACCTCGGTCAAGGTACTTCCTCTGCCGGTGATGTGAACCTACCACAAGGACAGATTAGTGCAAGATCTGGGGTAGTGCCCACTGTGCTCAGTCCCCCCCCCAGTGCTGACTCTTTCAAGTCATGGTGAGCCACCACATTGAATATATTTCAACTTCTTCTTCATTCTCACAGCTGAGCTGCATCTTTATTTCCCATTTCCAATGAGTCCTGTTTTTTAACCACCTTAAATGTCTGTCGGATATCACCAAATGGGGTCCAGACAGTTCACCCAGAGTCCCCTTGTTGCATATGATTAGTGTGGCCTCACCCTCCATGAGATGGAGCCAGACCAGGTTAACCTGTGCCGCATTTCCATGTAATAGATATGGTATACCTTTTTAGGCTAAGATGCAGCAGCTGCTATGCAAAACAGATTAGCCTGTTACTGTGTGAATAATATACTGGTGTCCTCTTTCATTGTATGAGATAATTGCCCACCTTGTTTATAAAGAAGGCTAACAACACTCTGGGCTGCCTTAGTAGGATTGTTGGCAGCATATCAAAGCAAGTGATTATTGCCCTCTATTCAGCACTAGTGAGGCCACATTTGGAGTCTTGTGTCCAGTTTTGGTTCATTCCCCCCTCTCCCCAACCACACATGCACAGAACGGATGTGGACAAATTGGAGAGAGTCCAGTGGAGGGCAACAAAATGGTTAGGGGGTGCTGAGGGAACTGGACTTGTTTAGTCTGGAGAAGAGGAGACGGGGGATTTAATAGCAACCTTCAACTACCTGAAGGGGGGTTCCAAAGAGGAAGGAGCTAGACTTCTAAATAGTGACAGATGACGGAACAGGGGAGCAGAGGTCTCAAATTGCATCAGTGACAGTTTAGGTGAGATATTAGGAAAAACTTTTTCACAAAGAGGGTAGTAAAAAAAAAAAAAAGATATTAAATAAATTTTTCTTCTTGACACAGGATGTAAATGTGTTCTCATGGGTAGATCAGTGTATGCAGCAAGACAGAATCAACTGCATTCACCAGAATCAGATTCTTATTGCATTTTCACATGTGCTTTAAGGGGGCGCTTTAAATAGCCTGCTGTGCTAATTAAAAGCACCCGAATGTCACGTGTATCAGCATCCTCCATGTTGAAAAATGACGGCTGGCTGCTCATCGATCGAGCTTTAGTTCCAAGTGCCCTGCCGCTGTTTTCCAGCGTGGGGAAGCTGATACACATGATGCTAGAGTTTGCTGGAGCACGTTGCTGGAGCTCCAGCAGATTCAATTAATCAAGTGATGGGTGGTGGTACACTGGCTGGCACAGCATCTGAACAGGACTTGAGGGTCACAGTCGACTGGAAGATGAACATGAGCCAGCAGTGCTATGAGGTTGCCAGCATGGCAAATAGAATGCTGGCGTGCATCAGCCAATGTGTTGCCAATAGATCCAGGGAGGCAATTCTCAGCTCCCTGTAAGCTGTGTGGTGTGCGTGGCCACACAGGTGTGCCTTGGCAGCACGGCATGAGTACGCCTGCATGACCATGTGTGCAGCGCAGCTTAGAGGGACCGCTGGTGCTTCTCCCTCTCTGTTCGTTGTTGGTGAGACCACAGCTGGAGTCCCGTGTCCAGTTTTTGGCACCGCAATTCAGGAAGCATGTGGATAAGCTTGAAAGGGTACAGAGAAGGGCCACCCATACGATTATGGGCCAGGAGGATAGGCCCTATGAGAGAGACTCTGGGAACTGGGGCTGTTCAGTCTGAATAAGAGAAGACTGAGAGGTGACTTGATAGCTAACTTCAAGTACTTAAGGGGTGAGCCTCAAGATCTAGGTGAACAACTCTTCAGGAAGGCACCTCAAGGGAGGACAAGGACCAGTGGGCACAAGCTAAAAGAGGGAAAATTTAGGCTGGACATGAGAGAACTTTTTTTCTGTAAGGGATGCTAGAATCTGGAACGTACTCCCAGCAGCAGTGTTGCAGTTGCCATCCTTGGAGATGTTCAAGATGAGGCTGGATAAGCACCTTGTTGAGCTTGTTTGAGCCCAGTAATTTCCTGCCCATGGCAGGGGACTGGACTTGATGATCTTGCAGGCCCCTTCTGGTCCTCTGATTCTGTGATTAAGTGTGCTCCACCGTGCTGGATTTCCAGTGCCAACTCCCTGCACATCTATAGGGGCCCTTAGCTTCTACACCTTGGACAAATTAACTTCTGGACCTCTTAGCTGCACAAGGAAATCACCACTTTATGACTGCATTCAGGTGCTAAGAGGAGCATTTGTTCATTTATTTTAAAATAAAAAGTGCTAAATCCAGGTACGTGATTGAATACCACCAAACCTTTTCACACTCAGTTTGGTATGAACTTTTTACATCCCTTGTCTCAACTAAACTTAGAGACCCTCCCCTCTGTAAATAAAATGTTCCTGATAACTTTTAACTTGAAAGGATTTTTACATTTGTATGAGAAATAATTACAAAATGGTTTGAAATAGTGGTTCATCTGAAAATGGAAGGTTGCAGCGGAAATACTGATAGTGCTAACAGCATATCTATTCACTACTTAAATCACATGCTAGCTGTCTTCTAAGCTTTGCCTCTTCTGCCTGGAATTTGGGAAAATTTGTTTGTCTTAATATCTTTTTTTATTGGACCAACTTTGTAGTTGGGAGAGATGTTAACATGCAATACACTACATATCTGGGAAAGAAGCAAATGGAGCCTAAGCTAAATGGCAGGTAGAATAATTGTTTTTGTTTAACCCTAGTATGTAAATGAAAGTGATCATTTAAAAAAGGTAGTGGGCAGTAAACCTGTGGAGCAAAGAGAAGTTGTTAGAAGTAATTACAGACCAAATAAAGAACTGTTGAAATAGATAAATTTAATTATGTAAAAGAATAAGACCATTCAAAAGAGAAGAGGACACTTAGCAGCTGTGACCCAGATAGCTTAACAGAGGAGCAGGTAAATTATGAGCCATAAAATCATTGCCTAATTAAAGTCCCTGCTTCTTGGTGTCCCTTAAAGTGATGGATTTTTGTTCCTAGGCTCATTATCTTAAAGTATTGCATAGGTTTTCCTTAAGGAAAAGTACGGTGAGGGTTGTTTATGATAAGTGTTTTTCCAGTGGTTGTTCATGATTTGGGTGTTTCTCCTCTTCCTTTGAGTGTTCATTCTGGTGTGTAAGGCTGACTTTGTTTCACCCTTGTAGTGTCTATAAGGGCATTTGGTGTAGTGGATGAGGGGATCAAGTTTTGTGTAAGGACATGGTGGATACATTCATTTTGTTAGTTTTGTTGTGAGGTATCTTGAGTCCAGTGACTGGAGATGTCTCGGTAGGTTTTGCATTTCTTGTTTAGTCTGTTGGTGTTTGATCAGTAGAGTTTGTTTCTGATTAATTTGGTGAGGTTGGGGGGATTGTTTGAAAGCCAGAAGTTAGAGGTGGTTGGAGAATATTTTTATTTTTATTTATTTATTTTTTTTTCAAGGTATGATTTCATTCAAGTGCAAGTTACTAATACCTGGTATAAAGATCCTTTCTTTATGGTACAGGGTGGCAAGTGACAATTTTGGGGTAAGACGTTGTGCTAGGTATTCAGGAGGCTTATTCGAAGATGAAGTCTCATTTTCTTGTGGAGCTTTTGTTTTGGGTGCCAGCAATCTATAGATAAGTGAAGTGGGTGTCAAGCACAGCAGATGTGGTAGTGTTTGAGGGTGCCTAGACAAGTGCAGTGAGGCCTCTCTGACACACTGTAATTGCAGTGTATTGGAGCAGACTCGATTAATTGAGTCTGCTGGAGCTGTGGTAATTACTGTGCTCCAGCAGACTCCAGCATCATGTGCATCAGTGTCCCTGAACTTGAAAAATAGCATGTGGGGGCGCCTTAAAGCTCGTTTGACAAATTCTTAGTTAAAGCACCTCCACCCCCATTTTTTAGTGCGGAGACACTGATGCAAGTGATGCTTCAGGAGCTTTAATCAGAACAGCTCTTGGAACTTCTTTAATTAACACTCACTCACACACACCTTGAGCGCTTGTATAAATTCCCTGAGGGTCTTGCTATAGATTATTGTTGTCTTGGTATATTCACATTAATATTTGTAGAAATAAGTGTGATGCTCTTACCTTGTAGAGATAAATGTATGCAGTTGTTAATAGAGTGCTATTCTGCGTATGTATAATTGTATCTAGAAATTTTGATGTTAGTGTAGGAGTATTCCAGAGAGAATTTTATGGAGAGGATTTTGATGGAGAGGTGGTAATTGTTGATTTTCACTGCAGCTTCAGTTAGCAAATCCAGGTGCTCTGTTTAAATCAGGGGTTCCCATGCTGTGGTATGTGTAACTCTGGGGGTACATAAGACGTCTCGGGGGGTACACAGGAGAAATTATGTAATGGTGGATTTAATTTTCACTATAATAATAATTGGCATTGAAGGGGTTAAAACATAGTGTAAGCAGGTAGGTGTACACGGGCAGCTGGTAAACCTGGAAGGGGGTAGTCAGTAAGAAAAAGTGCAAACCTGTGGTCTAGATTGTCATTCATATATTGTAGATAATGTATCAACAGCAGGCGTGGTACAATTTTATAAGGACTCTTAGTTTTCAAGATGGCTCATGAACAGGATGATGCTAGAGGACAATATTTGTGTTCATGGCTATGACTAGTTTAAAGGAAGTGTAGGTTGTTGAAAAGTGTCCAATGAAAGAGCGATTCAATAAAAAATATTACCAAATAAATCTTGCTTCTCACTTTTTCCCTGGATTGTTATGGCCACCGCCAGCTACTACAGTATATTAAGACATTTAGGTATGATTATAGAGCCATCTTTCATAGCAACTTCTTGCTTTTGTTTAATTGATTGTAAATGAATTTAAAATTACTAGCTGATTTTTATGTTTTTTACTGAGATAAGAAAATGCTTCAAAAGATATTGCCAATTTTAAAGAGTTAACGTTTTAAAATGTTACAGGATTTTTCCTGGATAGTTGCCATTTTGGATTTGGTATTAAGAATGTGTTTGGAGGATACTAAGGATGGATAATAGTCTGCCAAAAAATTAAAGGTGTAATGATGAGACTAATTACCTTAAGAATTTATTGGCTAGTGGTAATTAAGACCACAAATCCAGTCTGAGGGGATTCATAAGAAGAGTATGCTACATAGCTTTGACATTATTTTCCTGCTGCCGTAAGTTTCTGATATCAGAAGCTTGATTATAGTAGGGTAGATTCTTCAGTATTAAGAATAGGTGGTTTCTTCAAAAACGAAAAAATAATTAAGTACAACTTATCATTAATATATGGACCAATCACTCATTTGTACTCTTGAAATTAACAGCAAATATCTGGGGAAGATGAAATTGAGTTCTCAGATAAAGATGAACCTGATGGAGATGGAGATGCTTCCAGTGACTGTCCAACTATACGAGCTCCCTTAACATCCCTTAAAAGCCATCAGGGAGTGGTTATAGCAGCTGACTGGTTGGTCGGAGGGAAGCAAGCTGTAACAGCTTCATGGGATAGGACAGCAAACCTGTATGAAGTGGAGACGTCAGAACTTGTTCATTCTCTGACAGGTATCTTTCTCTTTTGTTCTCATGAAAATTTTTTAACTTTTAACTGATTTAATTTGCGATAGTTTGTTACTTACAAACATCTCAGGCTTTTCTGGGTAAGTAACATCCTTTTGAGGGCTTGAAGAAACTTAATAAAGCTGTTGCAAGAAATGTGAATGAATATGGCACCAGAGTTCATAAGATGTTAGTCCTGCGAATGCTGTAGATATGAGAATCATGTGATGTTTGTGGGACTTTATTCTACGAAACTGAGGGGTAGTATTGAGATGGAAAGCAGCATTTTTCTGAGCAATTGAGAAATGGCTTTGCTTTTTGTTGTAATGGCGGCACATTCAGTAGCAGTAACTTATGGCCAGTTTAATGTTCATATGAAATAAGAGTTATTAAACTGACTTTCAGAGCTCTAAACCTCTGCAAGGGCCGTAAGATGAGTAGAATCCAGACTGTCATTTTCTATGGGGTGTTTTTTTTGCTTTGTTTTGGTTTTTTGCAGAAATTGTCTGATCAGCATTTCATTCCAGATGTTTGTGGGAATGAAAAGTCTTGCATTTTCGTTACCTTATATGGTCTCATCTGTGGTTGTAGGGCATGACCAAGAGCTAACACATTGTTGTACACATCCCACCCAACGTCTTGTGGTGACTTCATCACGTGATACAACCTTCCGTCTGTGGGATTTCAGAGATCCTTCTATCCATTCTGTGAATGTCTTTCAGGGCCACACAGAGTAAGTGACAGTTGTTTCATAGGCTTTTACATATTCAGAAGGGGTAAATGTATTCCGTTAATAATCTTTTGCAAAGGGTTCTTTGCCTTGGTGCTTCTGAGGTTAAGTTCTTCCTTATATTGTTTTAAGACACTTGGTCTCTCACTAAATTACTATACTCCCCCAGATGCACTTTGTGGTGTTCTAAATACCAAAACAACACAGAGGACACTTAATTGTGTTACTTACAGTAAGTATTAGTAAGTAGCTGAAACTTTGTAAAATTAAACTTTAAAAGAACTTGTAAGGGAAGTTATGTTTTGGTTTAGGAACCATATTATGGTCGGACTAGATGATCTGTCTAGGTCCCTCCCGACCCATTGATTCTATGATTATACCATATTGTTCATTGAAACAAATTTCTTTTCTCCCTAACTGTGGAATAAAGATGACGTGTAGCGAACCCCAACAAAACAAAGGAAAAGCATGTTTAATTCTCTGCACTGTCTTGTTTAGACTGTTTCTCCTTTTTACATGTATTTTGTGTGTAAATGAGAAGTGTGTAAATTTAGATGCTGATCAGCTGTACCTGTTGAAAAGGACTTGTATTTTACGTTGACCCTATATTTGCATGCTTTAAGATTTTGTGCTAATCTGCTGACTTTACAAAAGCTACATAACTGAGAATATCTTCATATAGTAGCAAGATGTGCATTTTTTTATTTTAAAAACAACAGCAACAGCAGCAACAAAATCCGAAAAAGATATACAGTAAGCAGTAGGAAAAAACGTTGTTTATTTCCCAGAATCAATAGTTTTGAAGGTTTAGAAACGTACATGAAAGCACAGCTTGAATACCAGGAGACCGTTTCTTGCTCTTTTTTTTCATGATGAAGTGAGAACTGACTTTTTTAAAATCAGTTTCCCTTCATTAACAATTAGAAATTTCCATTCTAGCTTCACCAAACTTTTAACTTGCCTGATAACTGGGTTTGAGTGTTCATTTTTCCTCTCCCAGCTCTCAGATCAACCTTATGTGAAAAGTGGAACCTCCACAATTGATGATGAGTATAAACGTATTGTAGTTAACCATTTACCAAACTCTGTCCTAATAGCAGAGTTGGCTGAAACATGTCTGTTGCCATTTAAGTTGTTTTCTTTGAACAGGAGGAGTTACACCTGTGTTTAATGCTCATGCATCTTTTGTACTTTAGTGCTCACAAATTATGTGAGATCTGAAACAGGGCTGTTTATTGTGAGCAATTTTAGCTCAATTAAGGACTCTAAATTAGGGAAACAGGCTCTAAATATTACCCAATATCAGATACCCCAAGAAGTGCATTTTAGAAGCCTCTCCCCTTCAAAATAAACCAATATATGGATGGTTAAATAACATTCATATTCTTTTCCAGACAAATGGTCTAGGACACATGCTGACACTGACCCAATATCCCCCCCTATATTTAAAACAAGATATAAATGTAATAATTAAAGATGCCTGCATGCAATTAGATACATATGCAGTGAGATTGTCTCAAACTTTTTACCTCTTTTAAGATAAATAAAGCACTCTTTGGCCTAGAAAAGAAGCCACTACTAAACCGTTATTCACTCAGATGAGATGTGCAGTCATTATGGGCCGTGGATGGCAGACCCCATCTACAGACAAGATACGTTCTTCCAGGAAGAATGAGAGAGAGAATTTAAACCACCGTTTATGTCCTTGTGCATTCTTTGAAATAAGAAGAAAATGGATTTCTCATTTGGCTGAAAACTTTAAACAGATGGCAAATGAGGAAAAAACAATTTGGCTTATTTCTAATAACATTCAGCCTCTTCATTTGACCTTTTTTGTGTCAGTATATTATATTTGTTTTAACTTAAATTGGTATAATTTATATAACGACTATATGGTTATTGGTAAAATAATTTATTATTATAATTTCACCATATAATTTCATTATGTATAATTCTGTTGTTAATTTTACTATATTGTTTTAGCAAAAGCTGTAAATAATATACCTACCTACCAGAAATTATGCATCCAGATTTAAAATAGAAATGCAGTGATTGGAAACTGATGTTTTACCAGTGCATGAGGTACATTGCTCAGTTCTTGGTGAAATCAAATGGCATCGATCACAAGAGACTAGAAAGGCTGAACAGGATAGGGATTTAAAGATTGCCAGTTGCAACGTAAATGGGGGAGCTTTATTTTTATTTTTTTTTGTTTAACACTTGAGATTGACTTTAAACAGACTTCTTAGTTGGTCTGTCTTCAGCTTCAGACTGCTGTTTCTGGCAGTCTCCCATCTTTTTGTGTTTTGCATATCTCATCTGTCAGTCTCTTTTACCAAAGAGTTTGGTCAGCACTGTCTAAGAAAGAGTGCCTTCACCAGTAGACAATTTAAAAAAACCCTCCTATATCAAACTATATTTTAGCTTTAGAACTTTCACAGCAGAAGAATGCTCTTTTATGACCTTGCCCCTAAAAAATAGTATTTAATAATAACTTTGTAGAAAACATTATGTGGCTGAGTGCAGTTATAGCTTATCTGACAAATATCAGAAACATCCTTTCTTATTAAGAAATCCATAGATCTGTGACTCACTTAACAGGTACCACAACTTAGGCAGTTTCTGTCTGTTGTGTGCTTCCAGTAGGTCGCAGAGTACAGTCTTCTCAAATTGTTCATATGTTGCTGAGAGTGCTCTCATTAACCAGACTGATGGGAACTCTGTTGTATTTGCTACTGGAAGCTGTGTAATGTGCAAAAGTGATGGCACAGATAAATAACATCTATAATAATGGGGCAAATATTAAGCTTATACACTAGAAGTAAGTAGCATTTATTACACTTATGAGCTAACTGCACCTGTGTCCCAGTTATGGTCTGCTTGAGCATAGTGCTCTCTCTCCTTTTTCCTCCATTCATTTGTTGTACAGTTTCTCAGTTCTCCTTCCTTTTAGATCAGGATCCATCTAGTAATACCTTCTGTGTTAATTGTAACTAGACTGCAGGTTGAACTATGTTCAGATGTGCCTGGTCCTTCCCTTTAGGAGTCTGACCAGTGGTATGTAGTAACCAAAAGCTACCCTAAAACAAAAATACCTATTTAACAACAGGCGCAACATTTTTAGAGAGGATTTTTTTAAAAAGAATCTACACCTGCCTGCCTTCTGAAGTAGTGTTGTTCCCGAGAGTGAGCAAGCTACTTCCTGTCTTCTTCATCCAAACCACTACTGGCTCCCTTGCACATTCTTTAAATTATCTCAAAATGCTTTATGCTAATCTAATCAGGTTCTTGGTTCCTGTGAGAAGAGGTTTTTGGTTTTTTGTTAAAGTTGCCTGGGGATAATGATGTCAAGAACCATTAATTTGGTCCTAACTTTTTGAACACCGCTTGGCAAGTGGCTGCCTGGAGCTGCCATTTTTCAGTCAGTAATTTCATACCAACATCCAGTCAGTTAAAGCAATATAATGTTGTAAAAGACATTTCAATAACCAAGTCAGCATACTGTATCTTTAAATTATTACAGGTCAGCTCCAAAACTGTCATACCATAGCCTGAATTCTATTTTTTTTTAGTATACTAATAAAATTTGAGTCTTATGGAATTTGTTTTGTCACAGGAAATCATACAGTTTGTGTGTGCAGGTGAGAAGACTAAGCGTGGGTAGCTGTGGGACCCCTTTCTGGGTTGCAGTTCCTTCCCTTGCTCATTTGCTTTTTATTCTTCAACTTTTATATGCTTACAGAATGTATAAGCATATCTTATAATGTTATATTAATTCTGTGTTTCAGCACTTCTGGTGGCTGCTTGCAGATGGCAGGAAAATTTTGCCTCTGCTCCTATATTTAAATGTATGCCTAGTGTGTGTGTTACTTTTGTCTTCATTTTGAACCACTGCACGAATGCACTGGTCAGCATGCACTTGTGTTCCTAGTGGTATTGAGCAACCTGGTTGTCTTGTTAAACAGATTGGCAAATTTGAGGTTGGGAAGGCCATTGGGAGTTTGTGCCTTCTTCTGTGGTACTGCACATAGTTCACTTCCAAAGGTTATATGGGATGGGGGTAGTTCATGTAATAAATGTCTTGCTTTTGCAATGGCCCAAAGCATCGGCTGTGCCTCTGTTTCTCCTTATGTTTTCTATAGCATGTTGAATTTTTGAAGTTTTGGTTCTTTTTTTGTCCAAGCATTTTTAGCAGGTACCTGTTTTTTGGCAGTGGTGTTTAAGTGTTTAAGTAGATATTCTTTTTGAACCTTTTTGCACTAAATTCTATTGTATAGCTGCTTTTTGGGTCACTCCCTGATTGCCCACCATGTCCCTTCCAGACTTTTGTTATTAGTGGATGGTAAGGGGGTGTCATTCCGACCTCACTTGTACTAGTGATTTTAAATTTAACCTTTTATATGATTGATATAGGTGACATACAAGTATTTCATAAAGTTAACTATATATAATTGTATAAAATAGCATTTGTGGGTGTAGATTCTTTCCAGTAGTCAGGGTTAGATGGTATTGGTGTAAATAATTTTTAGTTTTTCTTCCTTATTCTCCAGAGTCAAAGATTGCTACTCTCACTTGTTCTGGTTGAAATTCAAAATAGTCATTGAGTCTGGTTGGCATTTGCATTACAAACAGATTTTCCTCACTCCCTTTTCCCCTGTCAGGTGATATGGCTTTCCAGTCACTTTTATATCTAAGTGTGTATTTCATTTTCTGGTGAGGGGTATTGTTTGCTCATCTCAATGAGCAGGATCAAGTCCTCCATGATTAAGTCTGAATTATAGTAAGGTGAAAATCAACCCAGTGCTTAAATACTCCTTTTACTTATGCTGTTGGGCTATTTCTCTCACAATCACATAGTTAAACGCTTTTTGTTAACCTTTTAATTCTATCCAGACAGCACTTTCAGGATATTTTCCAGCAGATGGCACCATAACCCTTTTACTGAACACTGAAAATGATGTGACAACCATAAGGCATTCAAACTTTTGAAGGCTTCCAAATTC